ATTCTACATACAATTGGGTGCTCAAAAACTGCTTTTGATACTCAGGTGTGTGCTTTTGTTACCCAAGTGTGGATTTTGGCTCAATAAAATACATTTTTTAAGGTCCTCCAGTCAAGGAGAACCAGTTAAACTCCTTACATGGGATGTTCCCAGAGTCCGCTTCTTGTCTGCCAGATCTAGTCATTTGTACTAGCTTCCCCCAAAGTCAGTCGACCCCTCAAAGACCACCCTCCATGTCACATTCCTTCAAAACTCATCAGATGTGCTAAGATTTGGTTATAGCTTGTCCCACTCAAACTCATGTTGAAGTCTGATCTCCAGAGCAGCAGTGCTGGGAGGTGGGGCCTAGTCAGAGGTGGCTGAGTCACTGGTCACCTTAGGAAGAAATTAATGCCCTCCCTTCCAGGTGAGTGAGTCCTCACTCTCAAAGGACTGAATTAGTTCCCGAGAGAGTAGATTGTTTAAAAGAGTTCAGCTTCCTTGGTTTATCTTGCTTCCTCTCTCATCATGTAATCTCTGTACATGCCCACTCCCCTTCCAACGTCCACCATTAGTGGAAGGAGCCTGAGGCCCTCACCAGACATAACTACCCAATCAGTGGACTTTCTAGCTACAAAACTGTAAGCCCAATAAATCTCTTTAAAAAAAACCAAAAACTTACTTAGGCTAGGCATAGTGGCTCATGCCTATAATCCCAGCACTTTGGGAGGCCGAGGTGAAAGGACTACCTGAGCCCATGGGTTCTCGACCAGCCTGAGGAACTCTACAATAAATCAAGAAAAAGTAGCCGGGTATGGTGGCACATGCCTGTAATTCCAGCTGCTTGGAAGGCTGAGGCGGAAGGATAGTCTGAGCCCAGTAGATTGAGGCTGCAGTGGCCACGAGCGTGTCCCTGTACTCCAGCCTGGGTGACAGAGTGAGACTCCAACTCAAAAAAAAAATTACTAGCCTCAGGTATTCTGCTATAGGAACACAAAATGGACTAAAACAATATGATATCTAGAAAACTAGTTCTAGGTAAAACTGTAAAACCAGCAATCAGATATAATTTGTAGTTTCATTCTAGGGAGCACTAAATTCGCTTATTTAACTTTAAGAGTTTTTTTCAGTTTGGTGGCTGAAATTTTTTTAAGTTACAGTGTTTTTAAAAAAGACAATAAAATAGTGATCAATGAAACACATATACTTCATAAAACAGAACTGGGTTGTAACTGCAACCTGAGTAAGGAGCCAAATTCCACTAAAGCATACTAATCTTACTGCTGGAGGTTGCCTAATAGTAATTAAAACCTAAGGATCCAGCAAAACTACTCGATAGTGTTAGAAGTCAGATGACTAGCTACCTTAGAGAGGGGTACTAATGGGGAGAATCTTCTGGGGGTGCTGGAAATATTCTATATCTTGATTTGGGTAACTACACTGATGTGTGTGTGTATATATATATATATAATATAAATTTAAGATTTATACATTTTACTTTATGTAAATTATAGTTCAATAAAAAGGTGAAGAACACCTGATTTATTGTAGAGACAAGGTCTCACCAAGTGCCTGGAAACCCTAGTCTAATTTAAATTTATAGAGGTATGCTTTATAACTCATGATACAGTTATAGGAAAACCAGCTGCTATATGGTTTCATTCTGGGGAGCACACTGATGGATGTTCCATGTGCACTTGTAAAGAATGTGCATTCAGCTTTTGGTGAGTAGAGTGTTCCTTCTGTTTTGTTTTTAGAGACAAGGTTTCATTCTGTCACTCAGGCTGGAGTGTTGTCACACAATCATGATTCACTGTAGCCTTGAACTCCTGGAATAAAGAAATCCTCCCACCTCAGCCCTCTGGCAGCTGGGACATGCAACCACGCTAATTTTTAATTTTTTTTTTTTAAACTTTATTTTTATTTTTATTTTGAGTTGGAGTCTCACTCTGTCACCCAGACTGGATGGAGTGCAGTGGCCGCTCCCGGCCACCGCAGCCTTGACCTGCTGGGCTCCGGCGATCCTTCCGCCTCAGCCTTACAAGTAGCTGGAACTACAGGCACGCGCTACCACGCCCAGCTAATTTTTTGATTTATTGTAGAGATGAGGTCTCGCCAAGTTGCCCAGGCAGGTCTATGTTGCTTAGGCTGGTCTCAAACTTCTGGTCTCAAGTGATCCTCCCACCTCGGCCTCCCAAAGTGGTAGGATTATAGGTGTGAGCCACTGTGCCCAGCCTGGAGTGTTCTATAAATGTCAATTAGATCAAGTCGGTTGAAGGTATTGCTCAGGTCTTCTATGTGCTTGTTGATTTTGCCTACTACTTCTATAACTGAGACAGAAACATTGACATTTCCTACTATAATTGTGGATAAGTCTACTTCTCCTTTCAGTTATATCAGCTTTTGCTTCATGTATATGAAGCTCTGCTGTTAAGAGGCATATACATTTAGGATGGCTATGGCTTCTTAGTGAACTGACCTTTTATCATTATGTAATACCTCTCTTTATCCCTAGTTATTTCTTTGCTCAGAAGAAAACCTTGATATTTATATAACCACTCCAACTTTCTATTGATTAGTGTTTACATGGTGCATCTTTGTCCATCTTTTTACTTTTAGCCTTCCTATATTATTATATTTGAACTGAATTTCTCATAAACAACATATAGTTAGTTTATGATTTATATTTAAATTTATTTTAAACACAGGCTGTTGCTCTGTCATCCAGTGGTCAAGCGATCCTTCTGCCTCAGTCTCCCAAGTAGCTGGGACTATGGGTGTGTGTCACTGTGCCCAGCTAACTCGTGTGTGTCTGTGTGTGTGTGTGTGTGTGTGTGTGTGTGTGTGTGTGTGTGTAAAGATGGGGTCTCAAATTCCTGGACTCAAGCAATACTCCCACCTCATACTCCCAAAGTGCTAGGATTGCAGCCACCACGCCCGGCTAATTTTGTGATTTATTGTCGAGACAAGGTCTCATAAAGTTGCCCAGGCTGGTCTCAAACCCCCAGGCTTGGTCAATTCTCTCGCCTCGGCCTCCCAAAGTGCTGGGATTACAGGCTTAGCCTGGTTCATTTTTTTAATCCACCCTGATAATTTCTTTTAATTGATATAGTTAGATCATTTGCAATTAATGTAACTATTGCTATGTTTGAAGTTAGGTCTATCATTGTACTTGTTTTTGATTTGTTCTTTCTATTATTCCTTCCTGTTTCCCCTTTCCTGCTCTCCTGTGAGTTGTTTGAACCTTTTTAAAAATTTCATTCTGATATATCTACAATGATTTTTTTACTATATCTTGTAGTAGAGTGGTTGCTTTAGGGATGACTATATATATACTTAACTTTTAAAATCTACTTAGAATCAATATTTTAACTCTTTAAGTAGAACAAACATATAGATCATTTTACTCTCCTCCAATTATGTAACGCTTGTCTTATAAATTACTATATCTATATTCATTGAAATTCAGTCAGTTATAGTGTTTGCTTTCAGCTGTCAAATATATTTTTAAAAACTCAACAGTGGGAAAACAGTCTATTTTACTATCACTCTTCCTTCATTCCTGATGGACCAAGTTCCCTTCTTGAAGAACTTCCTTAAGCTATTACTTTAGAGCAGGTCTGCTGGCAATGAATCCTCTTAGTTTTCCTTCATCTTAGAATACTTTTATTTCACCCTCTTTCTTAATAGATATTTTCACTGAGTAAAAAATTCTGGGTTAATAATTCTTTCCGTACTTGAAAAATGCTGTGCTATGGTCTCCTAGCCTACATGGTTTCTGATGAGAAATCTGTAGTCATTCAAATCATTGTTTCCCTATAGGTAATATGCCATTTTTCTCTGGTTAGTTTTAAGACTTTTCTTTTGTCTTTAGTAGTTCAATTATGATGTCTCTGAGCATGGATTTCTTTGGTTTATCCTGTTGGAATTCAGTGTGTAATTCACAAGTCTTCTTTGTTAAGTGTTGAATTATTTGAGAGATTTCAGAGACCAAGAATTTGAGACCAGCCTGGGCAACACAGAAGGACTCCCATCACTACATAAAATTTAGAAATTAGTCAGGAGTGGTGGCACATGCCTGTACTCTCACATGGGAGTATCACTTGAGCCCAGGAGTTGGAGGCTATGGTGAGCTGTGATCATGCCACTGGACTCCAGCCTAAAAAGCAGAGTGAGACCCTAACTACTACTCAAAGAAAAAGAATGCAATAGTTATAATTTTAATACCAAAAATACTAATACAGACCCTAGAGACAGTCTGCCCAGTTTCAAATAATGGTGCTGCCACTTATTAACTGCCAACCTTGGGTAAGTCACTTATTCCCTCTGTGCCTCAGCTGTCACCTTGGTAACTGGGGAAGATAATAATAACATCTACCTCATAGAATGAGGATAAAATGAGTTCATATATATAAAATGAATTAATGCATATCTGGCATATAGTAAAGGTTATATGTGTGCTAAACATTTTTGTCATTTTAAAAGGAGTACACTGGCTCATTTTAGTTAAGAAAAGCTGTTTTGTTTTGTTTTTGAGTTGGGGGTCTCACTCTATCTCCCAGGCTGGAGTGCAGTGGCATAATCCCAGCTACCACAGCTTCAACCTCCTGGGCTCAGACGATCTTTCCGCCTCAGCCTCCTGAGTAGCTGAGACTACATGCATGTGCCACCATCCCCTGCTAGGTTTTTATTTTTTTGTAAAGATGAGGTTTCACTATGTTGCCTGGGCTCATCTCAAACTCCTGGGCTCAAGCAATCCTCTCGTCTCAGCTTCCCAAAGTGCTACAATTACAGATGTGAGCCACTGTGTGCCCAACTCTAAAATGTTCTCTTTTAAAGTAATGCTAGATATTTGTAGACAGAAAAAAAAGTAAAAACACCAATGATTTTAGTTATATTTTACCTCAAAGATGACTTTGAAGTATGGTTTGGGTGAGTATAAGGCCATATCAGAAATAATGATCCTGTTCTAGAACACAGCATGTTCCACATTAGCCAGGTGTAAGAAAAGCAAGCCTCACCTCAAAGTTGTACTTCCTCATCTGGTTAAGGTGCCGGCAGTACAGATAGAGCATGCCGATGCTGCTGCCCACTGCAATGTAGTCCCCGTTGGTGTCGAGGGCCGTGAGGTAGACCACGAGAGAGCGGAAACCCTTCTGGATCTTCGTGGGAATGGCATTGAGGAGATAGTACAAGGGGCAGAACTCTCTGAAGGTGACAGGCTCTGATATCGATGCCATGACCAAGGTCTCCACAGGTTATCTTCAGGTGGGAAGAGGAATGTTTGCTTGTCATCTAGGGAACCTGGGGGCTACAGAACAAAGCATTATAATTGCTTCAATGCCTAGTCATGCCAAAAAGAAGTAATGTTTAATAGCAAGAACACAAAACATTTAGGTGGGTAAAAATTACAACTAGAGTTTAATTAAACAGAATGCATACAAGGTGTCATTAAAATCACTTTGAGCAGTTTCATTCAAAAAATGCACCTTAATATGTACTGGCCCCTGTAATCTATGTTGTAGCAGATACTATGGAGGAGTGGAAAGAATATACAAACCAATTCTTAGTCTCAGGGAGCTTAGGATCTATACAGGGAGGCAGATGAAACAGTAAAAAGACCCAAAACCACAAGGAATTAGATGCTGATTTATAGGTCTTCATGAGAAGAGGGAGAGGTCAGTGTGAATCAAAGTGAGTGTAGATAAGGCTTCACTGAAAACATCCTGAATTATGAAGTCCACAAGGTTGGACAGGACATGGAAACGAGAAAAGGAAAGTTACTCTGTACTGGAACAGACAACCCAATCCCAGACACAGAAATACTCCTTTGTTAATGAGAAAGGCCAGGAGTCCATAGCCTCCTCGGCACTCGGAGTCCAGTGACACAGGGCCTCACATCTACTCCATGTGGGGACCATACCAAAGCTTCCCTTAATAAAGACACTCAAACCTCACACAGCACATCACGCTAACACAGTACTCATTCAGGTCAACCTCACCCTACCCTATGAGTGGTATCATCTCCAACTTCTGGAAGAAGGTACTGAGGGACAGAGGGTCACGAGATTTACCCAAGACCACACAGCTGAGACTTGAATCTAGGTCTTTTCCTTCCAAGCCCTAGTCCCTTGCCAACAACACAGGCACAGCTCTGACAATCATCAGCTACAGGTGGACAGTCTACTTAGACCTGATTAGACCTGAGTGAGACTCTGACTCCCCCCAAAATCTAAAAAATGGTAACAATATATACACACATATGTGTCAAAATATATTTAATACACCAAACTACTGAATATGCATTTCATACATCTTTCTTTTTTTTTTTGAGTTGGAGTCTCACTCTGTCACTCAGACTGGAGTGCAGTGGCTGCTCCCTGCTGGGCTCCGGTGATCCTTCTGCCTCAGCCTTCCAAGTAGCTGGAACTACAGGCGTGTGCTACCACGCCCGGCTAATTTTGGATTTATTGTAGAGATGAGGCCTCGCCAAGTTGCCCAGGTGGGTCTGGAACCCGCGGGCTCTGGCAATCCACTCACCTCGGCCTCCCAAAGCGCTGGGATTACAGGCTGAGTCACCGAGCCCAGCCCATTTCATACATCTAATCCATCATAGTTCAGCCTACCCTACCTTAAATGTGTTCAGAACACTTAGTCTACAGCTAAGCAAAATCATCTAGCACAAAGCCTATTTTATAAAGCATTGAATATCTTATGTAACCTATCAAATACTATGCTGAAACTGAAAAATAATGGCTTACAGGTACTTGAATGACAGTTTCTACTGAATGCTGTCATTTTTACATTATTTTAAAGTCATAAAATTTTAAGTTAAACCATCATAATTTGGGAACCATCTGCATTTAATAGAATCTGTTCTTAGCACACTAACTAATTAAGTCCTTACAAAAAAACCCTTGGCCAGGCACAGTGATTCACCCCTGTAATCCCAGCACTTTGGAAGGCTGAGGCAGGAGGATTGCTTTTCAGCCCAGGAGTTCAAGACCAGCCTTGGCAACATAGTGAGTAAGATCTCATCTCCACAAAAAATAAAAAGAATTAGCTAGGCATGTAGCACATGCCTATAGTCCCAGCTACTCGGGAAGCTGAGGTTGGAGGATTCCTTGAGCCTGTGATGAGCCATGATCATGCCACTGCACTCCAGTTTGGGCAACACAGATTCCGATTCAACAATAAACCCCCCACACACACACACCTGAGGTAGGCACCACTGTCACCTCCATTTTACAGATGAGAAAACTGTTCCCATTTCAACAATATTATTTCCACAGCATTGGAGCAGTAAAGGCTTTGCTTCCTAGATGGGTGTGCACACACATGTACACAGGCACACACTGATGTGCCATAATTTCCTTAATTTTTTAAAATAAAATTTTCTTCTTACAACAGCTATAAATGCTCCCTATCAAAAAATGTTGGAGAAGCACATAGGAATTTTCTTGAAGTGCAAAGTCAATCGCCCACTCCCCTGCTGAACATGCTACAGTGGTCCCATCCCCCTCCAGCTCAAGCCCAGAGGTCACTGGCTTACAAGAGCCCCAGTGATCTGGCCTCTGCTGGGCTGCCATCCAGGATCTCTCACCTGTCCTCCAGCCACACTGAGCTGCTTCTGACTGCATGTCCCAGTCTTTACTCTACTCCCTGTCCCTGGAAGGGGCTCCTTATCTGCTTTAGCTGAGATCTCCTAAAAAACACTTCACAAACAAATGTCAGCAAATGTTACATCCTCCTTTAAAAGTCTTTTTTTCTCAAAGTAGCTCTGTCAAATGCTGACATTTAGCTTTCAAATATCCACCAGCTAGATCTGATACCATTCACCAACAGCACCATCATCTCTCTTCAGAAAGGGCTTAGAGACTACAGCCCAGCCAGAGGAGAGTCGGGGATTTGTCTGGAAAGTGCATTTGCAAGCAGGCACACTATTCTCCCAGACTGCAAGTTGATTTGTGGTAGCTGAGGAGGTTTTAATGGGTATAATGGAAGGTCAGAATCCCTGGAAGCATCTCCTTGGCACAGCCAGCAATAATCCTTCCAAAGGCAATTTCTAAATGTGTAAGGCAGGAGGAGCACATGACTGCAGCAGGTATTATAAACTGTCACAAGCATGGAGCAGGTAACAGCATAATCAGAATTTGAATCATAAGCATTATTCCAGCTGAAATCCTTGTATTCATCCTCGATTCCTTGGTCTCCCTCATACCAACAACAACCTCTCATCTCGGTGCATCAGCCCTATCTCCAAACCCATCTCACAGCTAGCCCTTCTCATCAACTCCATGGCTATCCCGTAGTGGAACCCATCACATCTCTCACCTGCACCACTGCCATGGGATTCCATGCCTTCCCCTAGGACCCATGCTGATCCAAGCTCCTCAACTTCACAAAAAACTTTTGTATCCAACAGATATCACCAAGAAAATGAAAAGATCACCCTGCAATGGAAATATTTGCTGATTATACATCTGATAAGAGATTTTGAAGAACTCTTACAACTCAATGATCAAAAGACCATTCTTCTATTTTTATTTTTATTTTTTGAGTTGGAGTCTCACTCTGTCACCCAGGCTATAGTGCACTGGCACTGCAGTCTCTGTAACCGAGGCTCACAGTCACCGCGGCTCACAGTCACTGCAGCCTCGACCTACTGGGCTCAGGTGATCCTTCAAGTTCAGTCTTCCAAGTAGCTGGAACTACAGGCATGCACCACCACACCCAGCTAATTTTTTGATTTATTGTAGAGATGAGGTCTCACCAAGTTGCCCAGGCTGGTCTCAAATCCCTGA